CTTGGCCGCATATTCTTTGTCATCCAGTTGTCAGATTTGAAAAACATAATCTACCTCTGCTAAATCTTCAGAAAAGAGGAACTGAATAAGAATCTCTGGATAAAAAAAAAAAAAAAAAAAAGAATCTATGGGATTGCCCCGCAGACACAGCCTAGGCTGCCCTGAAAACCTGAGGACCTAAACCCTGGAAGCATGACAGAGCAGTTTCTTCTTTGTGCTCCACGCACGAGGGCACATGCCTGCTTGTCTCTTTGAAGAACTCGGGAGGAAGAAAATGAAAACAAAAACACATGACAGAAACCACAAGTACTTTCTATGGCCACAAATGGAGCTGGTGGGAGAGAAGCCTGCTCTGACTGTTGTGCCCAGTTCCACAGCATGGGTCCTCTTCTCCAACTCGATTTCCTCTCCACTCAGATTCTTCTTCCAAGTTGCCTTGCTTCCTCTTCTCAGACCTGCTGCTCAGCTGTGTTCTTTTTTATTGGTTGAAATTCTGCCCAACCCTGACTCTTACAAGCCTTCATTTCTTTACAAAATGTCTCTTACTGCTCCTACACCTACCCAGCCCTCTCTCTGCTGGTTTTCCAGAGATTCCAATTAAGTTAGGGCCCTCTCTTATATTTCTGTCTTAGGTCCCCATAGCTGACTTTCTTGGGAGGGTGGGTTTTGTGGATTTCTAACTGGTAGTCAACTTGTTACACCCAGCTGAACTGAACTAGTGTGGTTCTGAGAGTGGGGGGCCCAGCTGAGGACTGTTGTCAGCAGCATAAGAGGCAGAACTGGAAAAGTGCTGAGAGGCTTTTAGGGAAGCTGTTTGGGGAAGCTGTTAGAAGCTGCTGGTTCTCTTGGGCTGTTCTGCTGGAAGACCTTGTCATGCTGGCTTTCCTGATGAACTTGGCTGTTCTTGTCAGAGGAGGAGCTTATGACATCCTTGTCACTGAGGATGGCTTTCATCCACTTTGGGGGAGCCCTAGTCCTTATCTTGAGCATCATTTCCTGGCTCTGGAGGGGAAGATGGGACACAGCTCTGCCTCCTGGAGAAGCTTGTCATCTTGGCTTTCCTGATGGGAATTCAGCTTTCCTCATCAGTGGAAGAGCTTGGGCCCTCACTGTTGCTGAGGATGGCTGTGGTACTTTTGCAGGAGGCTCCGGTTCTTATTTTGAGCATTGCTTTCTGGCGCCAGTTTAGATCCCTCAGCCTGCTAGCACAGATCCTTCATTTTTCTGGCACAGTCTTTCTAGCTTCCACCACTAACTTTTGGGCCTTCCCAATGCATATCCGTGAAGCGGGCCTACATGGGATATTGTCTTGAGCTCTAGGTCTTCAGCTGGACTCATGCAGGACACTGCTGTGGGATCCAGGCCCTCAGCTGGATTCTTTGGTCTTTAGTGTGTGGACAGATATCCTGAACTCTGTGTATGATTCTTTGGGTGAGTATAAAATAATCTTATAAAATGTGTCGTGTATTATATTGTTTCCCATGCGAAAGCCCCAAGCCATGACAGTGGATTGCTATGCATTTCTGCAGGAGCGAGCCACTGAGTTGAATATATAACTCTCACATTGCTAAATGAAGAGCAAGTTTTTGAGATGGTGGAAAGTGAATCAAACTGAATAAAGTGGGGAGGTGATTCATGACTTTCATGGTTCATGGGGGCGGAGCTTATCTCAATCATCAAGAGGTTCTGGCTATAGAAGAGTTTGGCTAAACCCTAGGGTATCATGATGTGGTTTGTAGTGGAGGCCTGGGCTCTTGGGCCTTGAACCAGGTACCAGGAATGTTGAATTTCATGTTTGCCTGAGCAAGTGATTTGAATTCTGTGAAACTTGTATTTTTTTAAAAATGCGCAGGGTAGGCGTTACTTGTGACTGAGAACATTTGCAAGGGGCAGTGTACAGGCCAGTTTTCTGTGGGTTGTGGATGGTCTCTGGGCTTTGGTGCAGCTGGCAGCAGGGACAGAACCCAGCACATCCAGGCCCTGAGGAAGCCACATACTGCTGGGATGTCGGGGCCAAAAGTGAGCACCAGCCCAGAACCAATCAGTACACCTTCTTACTTCATTGCTAAAGAACAGTAGACCCGGGAGATTAGCCAACAGCATCCTGGAGGATTTGGGATCAGTTGGAGGCCTTAGTTTAGCATCCTTTCACCCAGAGGAGGAAAAAGACTCCCTCCTTTCTTACTCCTTCTCCAAAGTTAAAACAAT